TAAAATTAATATAGAAGATAGAGTTGTACCCCCTAGCATGAGTAGTGTCGATAATAACGATGAATATGCCAACTATAGAGTTGCAGACTATTGAGGCTGTAACCTTTTAGATAACTTTTATTTTATTTGAATTATTAGAATTTACAACATATTATAAACTTGCTAATTAATAATTAAAATTATAAAACATTGTGTTGGGCTGAATTTATATACGTACAAATTGAGAATTAATATTTCAAAGTAGCATGAAAATAAATTATCCGCATTAATTAAATTCTAGTTATTATTCATATAAAAGTATGTAATGTTACAAAATTTTTTTTTATACTGTAACTTTCGTTTCTTATATTTTTCTGCATGTTGTAATAGATTTTGAATTTTTTAATGAAATTAGAATTTTATACGTACGTACGTACGTACGTAAAACTTATTTTATGCATAAAATGAACGTCATCATTCTTAGCTGCATTTCAAGTATTATGAAGAGACACCGGATTTTAATTTAATACAGAACTATTACTCGGTTATACTCTAATAATTTAAACTATACTTAAAGAATTTTAAGGATAACTCAAAAAAACAATAATTTTAAGGATATAGTGATTATGCAAAATCATGCTTCAAACCCATCTGTCCTAGCCAAAACACACCTGTTTCCTATTGTTTAGAGTTCTACTTAGACCATTCATTTGACGTCTGAGCCCTACAAAGACATATCGTTTGGTATAACTTTTTCTTTATAAAAAGAATATTTTTGCTTGTTAATAAAAAAGAATAGTAGCTGTCCTTTAATTATAAGTTTACTACCATCCGCTTCTTCACAAGATTTAATACCCGTTTTGTTAGTTGTAGCTTTTTATTAGCGTTAGTTTAAAGTTTGCGGCAAGTGTAATGTCAAACGACTTGTTCCTTCATAAAAATTTTAGAGTATTAAATCCACTATTGCTTGTTTCCGCATATTCGCCCATATGAACTGTCACATGAAGAAACCAACGTGCATTTATCAACAAACACGTTATAGGATAGAAGGTGCATTTGTTGTAATATAATATAATAAAGAAAGAGTGTATAATTTCTAAATCAACGGCCAGATGTATTTACCATTATCTTCTCAGATGTTAACGCTAATAAACAATAAAATACAACTTTAATAATATTAAACTTTTTAAATTTTCGTCTAAAATTAATGATTGCATTAATATAAAGTTGAAAGAATATATCTAAAGTTTTGTGCCGAAAACTTTTATTTAATAATAAAAGGCTAATTTCCCTTGTGAATTTACGAGTTTTACTTCGCATTTGTATGTTAAACATTGATCTTACAATCGGATTGGATAAAAATCACGGGACCGCCAAATTTTTGCGCCATCACTATTTCACTCGCTTAGATATAATCATAATTCGGAATTTTTTTCATTTATATTACTGTAATACTTGGATTAAATGTAGGCGGACATGTGTTCCTTACCCATGCCATCCATTTGGTGTCGTTAAATTAGCGCGAAAAGCATGGGTACTCTTAGTCATGTATTTTGGAAGAATTCCGGACAGCCAAAGGTGCCGGAAATAAATTCAATTAAAGGACTTTAAGTCCGCAGAATACATTGAATTGATTTGAGTAATTGGTAATTTAAGTAATTAGTAATTAGTAATTTTAAGTAATTTGAACTGAAACGATGATATGCTCCCGGAAGATTGGCAAGTGAGATTGCGCCAGGTATCATCGTAACAGTAGAGCGAGCGAGAAGCAGCATCAGCCGGTGGTTTCCCGCCTGCTCGAAGCAGGCCGGCTGTTAAATAGGAAAATGGCAGAATCAGGAGACTACAGTGTGGGTGGGAAGGGTCGGGTCGAGAAAATGCAAGTCAAATGAATTGGAATTTAAAGGGGAAAGAGCGTAGAAATCAGTCATTTTCGATGGTCTTTTTATACTGGTCGTGTCGGTGGCTTTGGGTTTGCTGCATGAATCTGTGGTTTGTCGTCGCTTGAATCTCAGATCGGTCCCCGGCGCTCGTGGCCAGAGTTGGAACCCGTGACGAGTGACCCTGACCAATGCGCCCCGCCCCGTCTTTTCGATCTGTTGACCCTTGTCAAACTGCATTGATACTGATGATCTTTATGATTTTAATGCTGGGTAATAAATTTTTATTACTAGTGAAACTGAAATTAATTTGTTAATGCAAATTAGTGTCATACTGAATTTTTTTTTTTTATAATTTACATTCATAAGTACACTACTAGCGGAAATATCACAGGAATTTCTCGTATTTATCATTGTTTTACATTTTTTTTTATTATTATTATTTTGTTTCGTATATTTGCAATCATTCATATTTATTATCTGATTATTATTCGTAAAGACTTGCATTCATTCATATTTATTATTTGATTATTCGTAAAGACTTGCATTCATTCATATTTATTATTTGATTATTATTCGTAAAGACTTGCATTCATTCATATTTATTATCTGATTATTATTCGTAAAGATTTGTATTCATTCATATTTATTATCTGATTATTATTCGTAAAGACTTGTATTCATTCATATTTATTATCTGATTATTATTCGTAAAGACTTGCATTCATTCATATTTATTATCTGATTATTATTCGTAAAGACTTGCATGTTAGCGGGACAGGAGGTGAGATGGATATAGGACATAAAATTATATACATTATGGCTAATTTCGATTATAATCTAAATAGCAGAACCGATTACTTGTAACGCTGGTCAAATTTGCCGATCGTTTGGCCAAATTCAAAATGTTTTTAATTCTGAATCTGGCCAAATAATCTGCAAATTTGACCAGAATTATAAGTAATCAGTTCCGCTATTTAGATCACAATCAAAATTAACCCTTACGCAATATTATATTTTACTATTTTACTTAATGTAAAATAAAATGCAGGTGAAGCAAAATACGGAGTGATAAGTCAATTCTCTGTAACAGATTCACCTAAAGGTCCACTTAATTTAGACCAATTCTCTTCCGAACGTTCATTTGAACATTTTGAAGTCAGTTATTTAAAGTTTGGATTAAAGCGTTATAATATTACGGTTGAATTAACTGCTAGTAAAAAGCAGGTCTTCACCATTATAATTTTTCTCAATTAGAAAATATAATTAAAGTTATTATTTATTTTCCTCATAATCTTTTGTGCCTGCCTATGCGTATGTTCTATTATTAGATAATTTTTATAAAGTTCATAACTTATTTCTAATAATATTAATATGTTTAATTAGTTTGACTCATCGATATCACGACGGGGCAATACAATCCATCTCACTTAGCTAAGTAAAAGGGGCAGGCCGCTATAACGGAGATTGGGATAGAGTAGATCCCTATGTAGTTTATTTTTGTTCCCAATTTAACATTAATGCTACAAAATTTGAGATTTGGTCGAGTTCTTATAAAGGT